GTTTCAATAGGAAACCATGGGACAAACATTAATAATAATAAATATGAATATGGATAATAATGACAACACGAGTAGAAAGGGGTTTAGGGAAGGAACATCAGAGACTTTACGCAGAATTCTTAACAAAGCTGGAATCAAGGTGTCATTCAAACCTACAAACTCATTCAGATATAAGCTTTACCAACATAAGGATCCAATAGATACAATTAAGTAAAATAATCTAATCTACCATGAGGTCAAGTAAATAGGTCAAACCAGCCGACTGGAATGAGTTAGATTACCGGAACATACGAAATGAATGAAACTCAGAATGATAGAGTCAATAGTCCAAAAAACACTCAGCTATTAGAATACATGCATGCATTAATACATACAATCATACAATAAGGAAGAATTAAACCAATGTACTTAAGATCAACAGAATTAGGTGAAGACGAAAAGAGATTGATTACTGAATCTTTGTTCATCGAATCAACACCCAATACACATATTAGGAATTACTCAACATATGGAAAATTCTATTACCATTAAACAAACGAATATAAGGTGATATGATTATAAAAATCAGATGTTGGAAACGCCATCAAATGAATAATACTTTATCACTATGTATTATATTTAATAAAAACAAATTGAATATAGAGCTAAGCCTTACTATCTATCTACCATTACAATTATAATTATGTTATATATTCTTTGAAATTATTTTGTAATTTAATTAACCTATTAAGTTGATAAAAATAACAACAACAGCAAAAAAATCACCTAATCAATCAATGGAATTTCATGTACATAGGTCAAAAATTTACGCTTCTTTGATTGATATATGTTCATATAATGTTGAATTATCATTAAAACTGATTTATTGCCTAACTATTTCATATCAAGGAACTAAGCACTATTGATACAGTACAATGGGTTTAAATTTACTCTGAAAAATATAATGCATAATTTTCAGGTCAAATGTATAAATTAGTAAAATTGTCAAATATTCAACAGACAGAGACTACTGATCATATTATAATATTATCAGAATTATTATGGACTAGGTTATATAGGGTAAATTGAATTTAATGAATATTATCTACAAAAAAACGAAACATTTTCTATACATACATACGTATATATCTCTATATATATATGTGTACATCTATAGTAGCTTCAGTCAAGTGATTTTCATTATTACCTATGAAACCATTAGGTGTGATGAACAGACTTCAGGCAATATTGTATAGTTTATATCGTTGGTTGTATTGTGTCGTTGATGACATGACCGAATTGATTGGCCTCTATTAGCATATGCACTCGTGCCCAGATACCTCAATATTGCTTGTCGTTTCAATTTTGTAGTAATGATGGATAGCGATTAGTAGTGGAATCGAAGATACGCTTTCCATACTATGAGGGACAATCCAACTGGATGTACCTACTCCCCTCCCCACCGAGACTCGAAACCAAGACTGATCACTATCCACTAGACCAACAAGAAACCACCACTACCACCTTCAAAAGCGACAATATAACTATACCCGTCGCACAAGCAGTGCCTATAGTGACTAGGTGGTATAGTGGATGACGGTGTGAGGTTTGAATCGATCCGTCTTGGGTTCAAGTTTCAGAGGAAGGGGAGAATATCGCTCACTGGGAGGCAGGCATATTCAGTTAACTATCCGTAAATAGGACGAAACGAGCGTCCTGGATTCCATTGCTGACCATCATTAATATAATTTTGTACAGCAGCTGTTAAAGATATTGTAAACTGATTTGGTGCGGCTGAAAGTTCCAAATCAAAAAAGCATTAACACAAAACTACACTCATAATTATAACTTTTTGGATATATTTCCTTCTTCCAGGTATACATAATAGAACTGTGGATCTAGGTCCAGCGATTACTCTAATGAATGAGAAATTCCTAATGATAATGCTATTTGCTGTTATGGCAGTTCATAATGGACATATTCATTATGTTTATCACTACAGAGAAGTATGAATGTCCAGAATACAGAAGCAGAGGAACACAAATTCTGATTTTCGTTTTAAGGGATTCATTGATTTGAAAATCGTCTTCATAATGGATCAATATCAATAAGAGAACCAGTGAAAACCAGAGAGGACTGGAGAACTAATTTTTTGTAGTTTGGGTCTTTACGGTAGTATGCACCAACGACTTCAATGCATCGAGCACAAAAACATCATGTTTCACAGTGAGCGAATCACCATTCTATCACTAGGTTGCAAAAGGCAATGAGTGGGCACTCACCTAACATAGTTGACCCCATAGAGACGAATATATATATATATATATATATATATATATATATTCAGTATACCTAACCTGCCATCAGATTATAAACTAGTAATACACAGTAAATTAGCATCGTCTAACTTGACCACCAAAGGTGATACGGTTCACCGTTTTATTAAAAAGATAACCCCAGCTATACTCATACTAATGGTTAGATCATTGATAGGATTTTAATACGAGTTTAAATGACTTTAATGAACACTGATTAGCTAGAAATAGAGGCTGTTGTCGGTTGTAGCGAAACCGAGCCGATTAACCCTTGATTACAATGAATTTACTAGCTTTAGTCAACTAGATAATATTATCTTAAGCCTATCAGTAAGGACAAAGCAAAATCAGTCTATTTTGATTACTTTCACTAGTTAGTATAATTCAGAATTTCAGTTCTATGATAAAAGACAAATTCTTTGACTTACATTGAATGATTCTTAAAAGTTGGTGTATATTAAACCACTTCTTTTGATAACATATGAGAAAACAATATGTGAAATCATTCATACTTTACATATAAATGCTTAAGCAGATTCACAGTAGTCATCTATTTCATTTCAATAGTGTCGCGGTAAGCGCCAACATCGGAAAGAATAAGCAACAAGGAGCTCTGGGAACGAACCAACCAAGAAGATATCACTCAACAAATATGTAGAAGGAAGTGGAGATGGATTGGGCATACACTGAGAAAGCCAACTGGGGACATCACGCGTCAGGCCAGTTCCTCGAGTGGAATCCCCATGGGAAGCGACGAGTTGGACGTCCGAGGTGAGGGTGACATGGAGGAGATCGTGTGAGGAGGAAATGAGAGCTTGTGGGCTGTCATGGAGCCAGGTTCAAAAGATGTCGGCGAACAAAGTTCACTGGAGACGTGCTACTGAAGCCCTATGTTCCATTAGGAACCCAAGGGACTAATAATATAATAATAATAAGCGCCAACATCTTTACTTTATTTACATCACTTATGACATAAGTGACAGACAGACAATTGGTGCACTGAGTTTAATCATATACAATAGAAAAATATAAAACCATGATAATTAACCACAACTGAAATAAATATACCACTAACGATAAATAAATACTCCAAGTATTCGAAGTTCAACTATATTTAAAAGAGTTTTGTACTCTTTGTGGAATATAGACTTTAGAAACACCTTAAATTTATCAGTATTCGATTCTAGGATAATTTTTGTTTTTTGTTCTAGATAGCAGAGGAATTTAAATAATCATAATTACAATTCAGGCAATTTTGAGGCATCTGCATAGGAGCGAAAAATGGCGATAGATGTCGAACAACTTCATCCAATAAAAACAACGGAGAATCACAAGTATATCGATTAATAGTAATAGGTTCTAAGATAATTTACTGCATTCAGACATTATGGTCTAAATCTTTGTGATAAAATAATGTAGTAATACACAGGGTGTTAATTAGCATTTACTAGATGGTATATAGTTCACGGGAAGTGTTGGTTTTTTTAGGGTATTTACAAAGTTGTGACTAATGGTCTTTAACTGGAACTAACAAATACAAAGCGATAATCATTGTTATCACAAATATTTACATTATTTTGAACAAAGCTTAAAATATATTCGAATAAAAAGGGATAAATAAAACTGATCATCTTGATCAGTCCACTAGATAATGAACGATGTCATGCTACCCGGACATAAGTGCCAATTCAATTCTATGGATCAAGTTTATAATGCAGACAGTAGTAGTCATGCGGCTATGAGAAGAATGTACTATGACACTAATTAACCTAATTTGTTAGCCACACTACAAAACTGCTTGATGAAATTTAACCAACGCGTAGGACTAGTGAGTATGGTATAGGGTGTTATCAGACGACGAAAGAATACACCTTATCAAAATCTAAAAAAGCAGTCACATAACAAAAAGTTTGTGAATTCAGCACGTAACTGAGTAATTGGGAATCTTTAACGAATCCTGAAGTTGCTCAGAGGTTGTAAATAGAGCTAGACAGGTGCCTATCGACTGTCAACCGCCCTCATAGATCTATCAGTATTCATTTCCTCAGGTTATTGTCAACCTTACCCATCTTTCCTTTCTAATTTTTATCCAAATCATCAAGTCAAACTTCATTACTGCCTCATTCCTTCTTGTTTTCCTAAAAACAATTTCCTTCCCTATTTCCTTATTTTTCACAGTGATGCATTCTCCCTTCATATGGTGATATGGGGTATGACAACTTGGGTCAGTACGTAGGAACATCAAGTTCTATGTGATACTGACTGACTGGCTGATCACCGATTGCTTCTTAAAGGTTCAACATCTAATCAAACACAAATTACTATCCATAAAATTGATCGATAAAATCTGAAGTTTAAGAGTATATGATGACCACATGGTAATCGAGAAAGCAGCAACCTGCAAAATGGCATTTCGGTAGTTCACACCGTATGTCAGCAAAAATGTAAGAAGATGAAGCAGCAATAAGAAGAGAAGTAGTAGCACACGAAGTTATTAATTAAATGGAAGCAAATCTACCAATCTAACAATTCGTTAACACTTAGATGGATAGAAACAGAATACAATAGAAATGACGACAGAAAATTTAACTGTCTGTTAATTGATAGTAACTCAATAAGAGAACCTAAAAGTCTTTAAAATATAGAGTAAAATGAAAAATGGACTACTATTAGATACATTTAAATATATAAACCGACACCACATACCTATTTCAACTGGGATTTCATTAATATCATTCTCACCGGCCATGATAACTTTCAGTTTAGTAAGTTGTCTGTAAAATATAGAGTGAAATATGTAGTAGATAAATACAAAGAAATTAAGATCATGACCAATGCACAAAAATACACACACGCATATACACATATAAACACAGTGTTAACACCGTTATATCATAAAGATGGGAAACGCATTAAAGATTACATCAACCACACAAAAATGACTATCAAATTAACCACCTTTTTAAGCTTCTATAGATGCTCCTGCAGTTTTTTTTGTAATAGTGTTTGGTTTAACCTATTGTCAACTTCCTTTTCAGAAACTCCCGATGCGCATTATACTATTACATTCAAACTCATCTGGTAGAAATATTTAGTAGCTGTTGGTTGGTTGGACGTAATCGGCAGGAAGTGTTGAATCTAGGTTTCATGCTTGTTGTCACTTATCAGTAAGGCGTATTAACAATCTTGACGGAACTTATGTTCGGCCGGTGATCCGAAGCCAGGTTAGCCGGTGTTGTAGTCAGTGACGTTACCGCTGAGCTGATCGGGCCACAATTGATCTTAAGTAGGACCATGACCAACCAATGTATGTATCTAAGTCCTACAGGAGATCAATCACGATTCGAATAGCTCAGTGATAACGTCGTTGACTACAACACTTAGTGACCTAGGCTTGAATCTCAGGCTTGAAGTCAGTTCCGTCGAGGTTTCAGATACATCTTACTGACAAGTGCCAACAAGCACGAAACCTAGGTTCAGGGCTTCCAATAGATTGCTTCCAACCAACTGACATCTATCAATGAGCACCGTGATGCTCAGCCTCCTAGCCTAGTAGCTATGTTGCAAAAAGGATCGATACGAATCGATCGCCCTCAGGACTATAAAAACATGAAATTGGTTGCTCTCCCCTAACCAATCAATGTATATTTTATGGCCTTTCTAGTGTAAAACTATGTCTGCTAAGCTGCGCAATGAGTACGAAGTACAACAAAGGCTAAATGTTAATTATTATTATTATTTATCCCTTGGGTTCCTAATGGAACATAGGGCTTCAGTAGCACGTCTCCAGTGCATTCTCTTCCCGGAAAACTTTTGAACCTGGCTACACAACAGTCCACAGGCTCTCGTTTCTTCCTCGCACGATCTCCTCCATGTCACTCTCACCTCGAACGCCCAACTCGTCGCTTCCCATCTGGGTTCCACTCGAGTGCCTGGCCTGACGCGTGATGTCCCCAGTTGGCCTTCTCAGTGTATGCCCAATCCATCTCTACTTCCTTCTGCATATTTGTTGAGTGATAGCTTCTTGGTTGGTTCGTTCCCACAGTTTCTAAATGTTAACTGCTTACGTAAAATTTTACTAAGAACTCGAAAACGGCATAAAGAGATAGAATAAAATGGTATCACATTTAATTTCATAGATGCTCATCAGCTGTATACCAACAAAAAAAATATAAAGATTACTAGATCATAACTTCAATGTTTTATAGTTGTATGTTGTTGTTGTTGTTTAATTCCACTCTAAAAACCATTGTAATTTAGGGCTGTATGCAGCTAGTTAAAATCCATGAAATAAAATGTGATCATTTTATTCTGCAAAATCTAATTCAACTTGCTTTATGCGAACTCATCACGGGGGACCAAATGATTAAAAATTATTTGAAGGCGAGTTTAGGTAATAATATTGATGCTTTGAATTATTTAACTGAAAATAAATGGTAACACTATAAATTGTGGTATTTCCATATTTCGTTTTGCTGTCAAACCAATAAGAATAACAGTAGTCCTACAAGAATAGTCAAGTTTCTGAGGCAGAATTCAGGTATTTTCACATAGTGAAATCAAAAATTGTTTTCGTTAGTTAAGCTTTTCAACTGTAAAGATATTTATATTACTGAATGGAAGGAAGAGGGGGGGGGTAGCAATGTAACCAATTTTAGTGACTGAAATTTCTAAAAGTAGGTAGAATAAGTGTCAACATGTGAATATGATTTCTCTACACAACGTTTTTTAATGCTATTTGTAACCACCGTCTGAAATCGAATGCCAATCGCTACAAATCGGGAAAAAACCCTCATATTATGAAAATACAGTTTTACCACAGGAATTCAAGTAATAGCTGGAAGCAAATAATGATTCCGCTCCCACAGCTCCTAAGAAGCTTATTTTCATCAGCTTACAGTTCAACGGAGACATATCAGCAGATATATTAAGACATGCTGCTTGAGAAAGACGTACTATGCTGTCAAACTTAGACTAACTTTCTCCACGTACCCAATGCTTCGATTATGTGCAAAGGATAAGCTAGCTCCCTTGACCACCTTGATGTGTGCTCATCAATTCACCTGCTTTTGTGGAGTAAGGTATATCGGCCGTACTCAGCGTTCGCTTTCCAAGCGCATTTCTTAACACATGCCAGCCTGGTTCTACAATGGGGAAAAGAGAACAGTTCACAACTCTATTCTAGAACATGTGACCGATTATGACCACCTGGTAAGTGTAGGAAACAGCTTTAGGATAATTTTTAGAGTTCACACAAATATCACGAAAGATGTACGCCAAAAACTCCTTCAAATTGCGGAAGCCATGGTAATTAATATTTTGAAGCCTGAACTCTGCGTTCAAAAGAAATTTGTCCAGTCACTCAAGTTGCAATGGACATAACCTATAAGAACATTTTTACCTTCAAAAACCACTTCATTCAGATCCTCTCATCTTTACACTTCTATAATTCTGATTTCTCTTTGCATTCACCATGTTACGTTATTTAACTTAGTAACCAAATATTAGTCCGATCTTGGTAAGTCTTCTCATTAGTATTTCAAACATTACATAATTTTTCTTGTAACCTGATTTTTTAATCTCAGCTGAACTCCGTTCAAAAATATTTCATGAAACATTTTTTCTGTTATAGTGTGAATTGTATATATATATAAGCGATTGTGCAGCCTGGGAATGACATTGTTGAAAAGAGTAACTCTTTGTTAAACATCTTTTGTTCAATAGCTGGATAGTCAAAAAACCTTAAACAGCACTCACTTGGTAGTCGACAACATCATAAATAAATACAACATACATGAAATACTAACTACAACTAAAGAATAACATGCGATAGAGATTAGATTTGATAAAACGAACGTTCATAAATGAATGGTTAAATCACTTACCCTATGCTGGTTGGAAACGTTTTCAATCGATTACAGAGTATATTCAGTTCTTGTAATGATGTTAAACCAGATAGGTCATTAGGAAGGGATTCCAACAGATTCGACTCCACATCCAGAATACGTAATTTTGACAAGTGTGTAATTTCATCGGGTAGAGACTAATATATGTAGAAAAACAAGTAGTACAATCAGTCACTGTAAAAATGAACAATCACAATAATGATATCATTAATAGATGGGATACTCATCCAATGGTTTCGCTAATAAGCGACCGTAATATTATCTACACTATCATTGTAATAGTTCCCTACTTACCAAGTTCAATCAGTATGGAAAGTTTTTCTTCATGAAATGGTCAAAGTATTTGTAATATGCCAAACATTTTCCATTGTATACGACACAAAAGAAATCTGATGTTTCTATGGTTCTGACCACAGAAAAGAGCAATTGGTCACCTCGAACATCTTTGTTTGCTGCTGCGAAAAGACTAAAATGCTACTATGCTACATCCGTTAAACTAACGAGTGACCCAAAGACTGTGTTAATACTTCTAAGAGTCCAATAATTCAACTTTCCCAGCAATTGAAGTGATCCGAGTGTTCAACCACTTCTCTTTATGTCAACTAAAGATTCTCCTACGTTAAGCTCAACCCTTGTGGCGTAAAAAAAGTAAAGGAAGATCTCCATAAGCAAATCAATGGCAAAGCTAAATAATTGGAAGAGTAGACATGAAACTATGACGACATAAAAGAGAAAAAACATTAGACATACTATTATAAAATGATGAGGCTAAAAATGACAATCGGCAAACAATAATATTTTCACAAGCCTTAATCGCTTTATTTACGACTTGAAAAACCGAAACACCAACGTCGCTGGTTTCAGAGCAACTGACGGTTAGTACTTCAATGTGGAGTAACATACTTCAATCAGCAAGCGATCTATTCCTTGCTAACGTAGGAGTTTGAGGGTGGAGTAAGGTGTTGCCTGCATACGAATACTATTCCAGCACTGCTGCCTTCGCACCCAAAAAAGATATGTTCAGAAAGGTCGATTCTCATAACTGTGTGCAGCCCTCTTGTTCTACGACTTTCTGTCATCGATAATAAGGATCTCTAAGTATGTATTCAGACTAAACTTACGCTCCGCAATCATACAAAATTAATTCACTGTTTTCAGCACTACATAAAAACCCTCTGATCACCTATGTGGGTTCCTTTGTTTTCGTTCCATCTCGTAAAGGAAATTGTTGCCACACAGAATTATAACCCTGTTAACATCCAAACATTGGTGAACAGTCAAACAAGCCCAATACCATTTCAATTTTTCTAACTAAATATAAACTAACAATCTTATAGTGGAGCTTCCAGCGCCCGAACCCTATATCAAATCTGAGAATAGGTCTCAAGAAAATAAACTCTGGAATGACAGACCACTAATTAGTGTCATCTCCAATACTGGAATACACGACCCAATTCTGATAATTGCTGCCTAGTTTCCGTAACATTAGTGTACTTTCAGAACACACGTTATTTAATAATCATCGGTGACATCTGAAAGAATCAAAAAACAAAGTGAAAACCGTCGATGCCTAGCTTCAGTCTCTACCTACAAAAACATGGACTGCAGTTTGGAAAGTGTGGAGGATGATTTTTGCCAAGAGTCACTGCTTCTCTGGAAAAACCGAACTGTTTACACAATTCTAATAAAGAAGATCTTCAACTTTATATCGCGTCATTTCGTCCTTGGGAAAGAATAGTGTAAGACTGTTGCTTTCGTTAGAATTGATGTTTAGGCTTTGGTCATTTGTTAGTCTGAGCAGGTACTTGTCTGCCTCTTGATTGACAAAGAAAACAAACGATTAAAAAATTTGTCTGTGTTTGAGCAGAAGATGAAGACATCAGGTATATCTTTAAGGGTAAAGTAATTAGTGTTACTCATAGCGTAGTACAATAAATATGCTACATAGGTAGTCAGGCATGAGAACATGTCAGTTATTCTCATTCCGATGAGGATTGGTGTTTTATTCAGTCTACTTTCGAAACAGTAGCAAAGATATTTAGTAACCTACAACCAAAGGTTAGCAACAACTAATGGGTTTCTGCAACCTCAATCAAACTGATTGATGTGAGAAGATTCATTCCACTGGGATCTGGTCACAATGAAGAGTAAAGTAGTTTAAATGTTGACTAAGAGCTTTCAAAATGACCACGAACAACTGCAGATGGCGAAAGCGATTAAGAAAGCGTCTGTAACTAGCAATGTTCAGCAGTAGTTTACGCTTATCGAAGACAGGGACACGGTTAGCAAGACTATCAGTGAGAAGGATGTGCTCCTGGTAACCTGTCTCGACTGAAAACAAGAAATTACCTGTGAGTTTCCCACAGGAGATTTAAGCATGAAGTTAGAAAACCACTGAGAGATAGTGAGTTACCAGATACCGTATGGAGATCACAGGAATCCCCATTGTACTGGTATAAATTATTGAAGATGATAACCATAAGAAAACTAGATGTCTAATACCGTAAGATGGATGGATGGTCGGTCAATAGGTAACAGCAACAACAAAACTGAGGATAGTAAGCACATTTTAGCAATACGCTCTGTCCTAATATACGATTGTGCACTATAGTCACTAAACGGGAATAAGTGGCAATTTTTTACCATGAACGTTCTCGTAGTACTTATTCTTTGGTATAACCATGCAACAAGCAATATTGAGGATAGACGTAGAATAAAGGCTAAAGGACGTAAGTTAGTACATTAATTTTTGTATCGACACACGCTGACCTGGCTCAACTGTATGTTACACTTCATGAATTTACTACATGGCTTTTAGATTCCTCCTCGTTCATTTTAATATGTCACCTCCGTTCTCTTCTTCTTTCTGTGCTGGTCTGAAGTGTGGCGCATTGGATCGAGGCACTTCTCTAACATATGTGCTGACCAGTTTGCCTATACGTCTATATTTGGCACTATCTTCAAACATTGGGTTACATGATTCGTACGATAACAACAAAGCTAATATAGACTATGTAATATCGATCTAGATCACTATTCTAAGATTGTATTTCTGTTACTTTACTGAGTTTCTACGCCAAGTAAACAATGTTTACTACAGAATAAAGTTAGGTGAAAGACTATCAAAGAAAGTAATGATGCTGCGGTAGGCGAGAACAGTTTTACATGACCGTTTTAAGTATTTAAGAGTGTACCATCACATGGTAGACTTCCCTAGATAGCATCTTTACTAAATGTACTATAATCCTGTATAAAGATAAATGACTACGTAGCATATAAGAATCCCTAGACTTCAAAATATAGGTTTACATGGCTAAAGCATTATATGTCTAGTCACTTACAAACACAAAAATGGCACGATGAATTGGACTCGGATAGTCACACAAAACCTTAGTTTTCACAATACTAAAAGAGATTTTATCTACCAACACTTTCAACAAAAATTCCACCCAGCTTTCGAAACATAAAAACTTTTTAACTACTCACAAAGTGACAATCTACAAGACGTTAGCAGCGAACTTGTTAAAGAATCTTAAATTTCAAAATAGACGCAGACAAATCCACGTAGAAACTCACAGAAACGCAATGGCACAAGCTGCTAAACTAAACAGTAGCATGCAAAGGAAAAAGTGACATTCATATCACTTGTTTCCAAAGTTGACAAAGGTGTCTGGAGAAATAAATTTTTAAAAATGAAGGTTAGTGAAAAAATTTCAGCTCCGAAGATGTCAAGGAGTAAATACATCTTGGCAATTGTGACTGATTTTTAGCTATATCACCAACAGCTTTTAACTAATGATTCCTGTTATTTTGCGGAAACCAACCAGGCAGACAATACCTATCTACATAACTCAGGCCAACAAGTAAACGCTTCACGGACTGGTGAAAAATCGTTCATCTTGATACCCTGAGACTTCTACCAAACCAACCCCACTTCGGCTAACATTGTAAGTTGTGGCAGGTAGTGGATTGACATGTGCAGTACATGTTCAAGCTACCTCAGTCACTGAAAGTTCACAACACCATAGACTAACTTGTCGGCCTGTCTAGTAACCACTCTTTGTTTAATCTCGACCTCAGCCTTTCAGCCATACATGAGAAATGCTAGGAAGAAACCTATAGTCAAAGACGTATAATCTCTGCATTCCTTCTACTTTCAGTGACCACGTGTCAGAGTCGCATAATATGACAGAATGGCCTCCCGAGCAGCATACTAGTCCTTTAACAGATTGTTGGATATCATGCAAGTTGACAAACCTGGAAATAGTCTTTTGAATTGCATACGAGATTTTTTCAGCAATCACCGCGTTCGGGTTGATGCAACTTCCCAAGTTAAGTAAACTGGTAAACACATTCTACCAATTCACTCGCTATCCTTAAACCAGGAGTCGATGCAGATAAATTCTGAAACATCGTCTGACATTGGAAAGTTCAAAAACACACACTAAGATTTTAGCTCAAATGGTTCAGAAGACTACATTCTCATAACATACTTGCTCAACGAAATCCGAGCTAACTAAGTGCCCTTTTGAGAATAAGTTAAACCCTGTTAGGTCAATGGCACCTAGGGTTACGTCCAGTCGTATGTACATATCAAAATTAAAAAGGATGGTAACAGTGAGCATCCCCAGTTATCATCACTTTAGACGATAACTCTCCCCTACACGATTGGATGAGTTCGAGTAGAGAGCCTTGATTAGCATTACACACTTGTTCAGTAATCTCTTCACCGTCAGACACTGTCACAAAACCTCTACATCGACAATTTAGAATTTCTCGAAGTAAAGAAATATGATATATTCGGCGTCCATTTCCCAAAACATGCTGGAGAGTGGATATCTGGTTGATAAAGTGTTATTTTTTGAAGTTTCCCGCCTAATGTTTTAGCCATTTGTCTCGAGATTTTTTAAGAAACAGTGTTTTGGAATGATGGTCTCACTTAACACAGTTTTTCTTGTCAGTTTCCTTGGTAGTTGGAAGGCGTGTAGATAGAGATTATGAACAGGCTTCATAGTCTTTTCCTGTTCCTACAGATCCACCCAGTTAGATAGAGCATAGATGTCAGTCGATTGGAATTTATTTGAAAAGTGGACTATTTACTAGAGAACTTAACGATATACCCGCACCAATGAGCCCA